CAAGAAGGTAGTTTCTACATGTGCTGTAGAGGGAAGTGAAGGGCTGATGAGGCTGGGAAGGCAGCCCATCAAGGAGAAGGAAAACTCTGATCCTAGGTCTTTGCTCAGTTGAAAGGGCTAAGGAATAGACCCTACACAATCTGGAGTGGAGTCCCTAAGGCTGTTGGGTGGCATTTTGTACACCTCCTTCCTGTAGCCAAGCTGGTGCCAAACCCATTCGTGTCTGCTTTCCTGTTTTAGAACAACATGGTGTTAGATCACCTTCAAACACTTAGGTGTGGATATTAATCTGGTAGTCAAATCTGCATTATGCAAAGGCAAGATGCATATAATGCTGTAACAAATATGCATCTCTCTAATTTTTTGCCACTGCAGTTGAAATTGCTGCTGTTTCTAAAACATAACTAATTAACAGAGATGTATCTGTCATATGTAAGCAAGGTGAAGGATTCTGCTTGCATTTCTTTTATAAAGCTAGAGCATACAGTACAGAATAACACCCTCCCCATTGCAAGTGAGTGCCACAAATGTTCTACTTTGGCAAAGGATACGTTGCACAGTGCTCCCATAAAAGCTTTATTTGTGAGCCTAGCAGCAGGTCACTGGCAGTTCAGAGCAGAAGATTCATGAAATGCATTTAATTTATAGCACAAATCAGACTTTTGATGAATGAGTAAAAAAATAATAATACTGCAGCCTTGGCAACAATCAAACTAACCACCTCTTCATGGGTATTATCGCTAGTTCCATTCAAGATGCTGCAGAGACCTTGAGCTCCAGAAAAGATATTGTCTATAACAGCACTTCAAACTAACAGCCTTGATATGGAAAAAAATTACTGTGCATCTCTGTATTGTAAATGCATTCACTTTTGTCTTTTAAATGGGCAGGGACAAAGTTTATGTGACAATTTGGTTAACTGGCGGATGCCAAGTATAAAAGACACGTGCTTCAGACATGATTCCAATATGCTTGAATGAAGGCAGGCCTCTAAAACTTCCCCAGTTCTGACTGATGCAAGACAAAACACTAAAACAATGCTTTTCTGGAGTTTTCTTGAATAAAATGCCTTTTACATTCGGAAAATGAATTCCTCCCTATATTGGTGAATTTTATAAAATACCGTATTGGAATGAATATGTCTCACTTTTCCCCTTCTTCTGCTTCTTGCAGCCATGTGCAGTGTGTCCATGACCCACCTGCATCCATGTCAGCTTTAGAGCTGCCATTTGACATGTAAAAACCAAAACATAACCTTTTCATCTGACAGGTGAAAGATTGTCAATTATAGTGCCGCATTTAAAGCACTGATTTTATTAGAGCAGTAACAAAGAACAGTAATAATTACACTCGATTGAAAAAAGTAGTTCCTTCTTCAAAGAACTCCTGTTGTTTTCAGAAGCCATACTATGAGATCGCATGGAATCCAATCCACCCGTCATTTAGAGCCAGTCAGAACCACCGATTCAACCAGCTACAAATCCACCTAACAAATCTCACAAGATCTGGTACATAAAGACAGGGATATGGGCTTTCATAAATATCCTAAGCATGATCTACAGTGTAGCCTCTGGGTTGCAGCCTAGTCTTCCTTGATCTTTGGTCCCTAGTAAACTGCCACCCCCATGCTTGGCCTCAGGTGAGTAAGTGACCTTCACTTTTGTCATTGCTTTTATTTACACAAGGGAGGGGGTCACTTATACAAGGCTATTCTTGATGCATTGGACCATCTGATCCAACCAAATAATAGGCAATCATTTGACCAATATCTGAACACTGATTTACATGCAGAATATCTTGGGTTTCCTTGGAACTAATTTACATTGAAACCAATGGAACTTGCTTCAAAGGTTTACTTGGGAAAAGAGATGTAAATCATCTGAAGGAGTTACTATTCTGATTTAATGTCGATCAAATTACTTGCCTTTTCTTCAATTATTAGAATAACATGGAACTGTAATTTTACCAGTATGCTAGGTACTATAAATAAGCACTTTTCAACATTCAGAAAGTTTGCAGTATCTGGACAATAGCTGAATTTTAATTTTCCATATTTAGGGAACAAAAATCTATTTTAATATGCAGGCAGGAGAAAAGGCTCTGTACTCTGAAACTTTAGTTTGTGTTACATAAGCACAGGAGATAAAAATATCTAGAAATCTTTGCAGGGTTCCCCCCCCCCTTCTAAGCATTTTATTTATCACATTACTTTTTGTACAATTTTATGAAAACCAGCAGATGATCAGACAAATGAATAGAATACCTGGCCCAAGGATTACTGTAGAGGCACATACCACCAGTTCCTTATGCATTTACAGATAATTTGACTTTAAATGAGATTAGTATAATACAGGCACACACACACACACACCCCCACATACACGCAATTGACTCGCATGCAACACATGTATACATGCAGCGCTGGGGGAAAAAATAATTCAATTCAAGCAGCAGAGGGCTGGAAGGTTCTCGTGGCTCACAAGGAGACCCTCCCCAGAGCCCAAAGAGGACGTTGGTCAGCCAAAAATCCAGGAAGAAAGGTTTAAAAGGCTTTTCAAAAAAAATGGCATGCAGGAGTGCTCCCTGACACTGCACTATCCCACTGAACAGCTGTATTGGGTGGGAAGCTGTACTGCTGCAGACTCCCTACTTACACCCATTTTGCTTATGTGTGCCCCCCCCAAGATCATAACCCCCTTGTAAGTGGGGAGTCACCTGTAGAACACAAAAATATTGTATTATAATTGAAATCATTGAAACATCCCTAAACTTAAGACAACTTTTGTGAATTTAGGTAGCATGTTTCAGAACCAGAGCGGAGAGAGGCCAAAGGGCCCAGCAGGCCAGGAATTTACCCCTGCCCTGGATGCGGGGCCAAGCGCTACCATTGGTCAGTTGGTCCCATGTCCAGGGAAACACCCTCTAATTCCTGTTGCCATTGACCAATTTGGTGGCAGGAGTATTATCCAGCCTGCAATAGGCCAGGTCACAGAGGAAGCCCGAGGGCCCACCTGCAAAGCCACCCATCCAAGAAGGGGCCAACAGACTTCATGAAATACCGGTAGGTGCTGCAGGATGGCCAGCGGCAATTTGGAAAATGGCTCATGGTGTTTATGCATCTCCCCACATTCCAAACTATTGTTTTCCGTGTAATCCAAGTGTAAATGGCTGCCAGTAATTATCTATTTAGAAGCAGAACTAAAAGTGTCCAGACTTACCTTAAAATGGACAAGACAGCAGCAACAGATGTTGCCTTGGTCACTTCCAGTAGAGACCCATAATGAACTACAATACCTGCTGCAAAGATTGAGACTTGCCACTAAAGATGTATAGATGAAGATCCTGCTGATGGAAATTTTTCAGATAGACATATTAATTCTTTTAAATTTAATTTTGTGTTTGAACACCAAGCAAGACCTTGTATTGCATGTTTAGTTTTTAATGCCGCCTTGGGAGGATTTTCCTCCCTATTCTAATTTTAAAGTAACATAACAAAACCTGACAAGTAATTAATGGTAATTACTAAGCCAACTGATGACTACACAGATATGGAGCAGGGATTGGCTGGATACCGAGGACTGGTAGCTAGATACTGATGAGTGGGCACCAGGAGAAGTGGGCACCGAGTTGGAAACAACGAGTAATTTAGTGCATGGAATAAAGCTGGTCCTATGATTCCCAGTGGTCTGGAGAACAACAGGTAACAGGAAGGTTGTAACTGGATACCAAAGCAGGTCACATTTTGACCTTGTTTGCTGTGCATGCCTTACACTTCATGTGGTACCTGCAGGGTTTAATAGTCATACCTTCAACTAAGGCAGGCATTTTGGAAACTGCCTTGAAGTTTAAATGACCAAGGTGCCTGTTGTGCCACATTTAGAAGCAGGGAAGATGCCCACCAGCACAGACTAGACTGCAACGAAACACAAATATGTGTAGGAATAAAGGAAAAGGAAATGCTCTCTCAATGAAAAATGGCAAAAGTTCGTCCTAAAGCCGTAGAGGTTAAGGAAGAACTGAGTGGGAAAGCAGGAGCCATGTCACTTTGAGCATGTGTGCTGAGATGTGGGCTCCCCCCCAAAACTTTCACCTACCTTTAGAAAACTGCAAATGATGCTTTCTGCAGGGATGCAGTATGTGAGACTTCACGGAGACTACGAAGAACCACCATTGTTTTGGATAAACATGCAAATAATATCAGTCGTTTGCATAAATAAAATGCCAACAAGTGTATGCTTCTTTCCATTAATTGTCAATACTTATGAGACACCGCATTTGCCAAAATAAGAAGTTTAATTTTGACAAGGCTTCAAAAATCCTACGAAGTTTAAATCAGGATGCTCCCCTGTATATACAATACAATACAATACATAAAGCCTAGTATCTGAAGCAGGGGTGCCAACTTGAATAAAATATGGGGAGGGGGGAGGTAAGCCCCGCCCCACATAATTGATCACATAACACAGTGCATGTGCACCATTTGAATGACAATGCTCACCAACGTGGGGGGCAGCCCCTCAAATATTTTATTGGGAGGGCCAAAGATCCCTCAGCCCCTTGGAGTTGGCTCCTATGATCTAAAGAGAGCCTTTGGTGCATCCAAACACTTTAGGCATACTCCTCAAAGTTTCTCTGCCTAGCTGCAGCAACTAATGCTGCAATGGGAAGCATTCTGATGAGTCTCTCCAAATTTCTGGATTGCTTTTTTTTTAATTGCCACAGAGAGCAAGTATCAGAAGTCAAAATCAGAGCCACTGCCAGAGATTTCTATGTACAGAAGTTTCACTAATGATTCTTTGGAGCCAATTCATTAATTTGGAAACTATATAACCAAGGATGTTAAACTAATATCCTCCATACAAAACATCATATGCCATCAATAAGTGTTAAGCTTTATCAATACCAGCATCAAAGAGCTTCAAGCAGAAAGAATTATAGCATTTTCGACTGTGTGTCCGTTTTCATTTTGTATACTTAACGGAAGTTAACAAATACAGTAGTTAGTTAGGTAATTTGTTCTTACTGAGTGCTTGACAAACTGACATGTACTTGTTTTGCTTGGGATTGCAAATGCATCTGCAGTAGTACTATTTTTATCAAGATTTCATGGGCATTTCAAGAGCATAAAGAGAGAAGCACATACATTGAATATTTTCAGTATATTCTGTGGGAATGAGTCAGGACAAATGTCAGCAAGAAACTACTCACATCAATAAAAAAATAAGCATCATGAAATATTATTCTGTATTACTGAATTGATAGTAAACACAATTATTCAACATCTGCTAAATCATACTGTTCAGTCATTGTAACATTAATAGAAATCAATGTATCCTTTTAAAATCATCATTTTATTTAATACAAATGTGTATTCCTGTAATTTATAAACATGATTTTCATGTTTTCCATCTGAAATTAGTTAACATCATCAAACTATAAAAAGCATTTTTCAGTATTTTAAATAATGTACAGTTTGGAGGTGATGTTGATAAAGTTTGGGAAACATAATATGGGCAAATGTAACAAAATACTTGATCTTCAGTGGAAAAACCCACCAGACAGCAGTTTGAAAAAACAATTGGAGCTTACAAGATATCAACTGCATTTAAATCAATGAACCATTTCACATGGGCCCACTTCTGCTAGATTTTACATTACATGATTTTGCCCGTGTTATGTGCCCATGATCATGTCAAGAAGGCACCATGTAAATGGTTCATTCTGTAGGGATTTCACGGCTGCAGTAGCTATGCTAGTTTACATCTCTAGGTAATGTGGCAGGAGACCACATCTCATTGTCTCATTTTAAAGTGAAAAGCAACTACAGGCACCTCCCAAACTGAATCTGGCCACAGCATTGGGAGAATGATGCTTAATAATCCACCTATTCACGTGCGGGTTCCAAAACTAAATTCCTGCCAGACTTTTTTATCCTATGGGAAAGAAACATACAGGTACTATGTGGTTACCTGTCCGTTTCTCTGCACTGGGCAAATACTAACTTTAGAGGAGTAATTTGGGAATGTGGTGGAGAAGCCTCAACTTTCTTGAGCCCTGTAGTTACTGCTACCACCACCACCACCACAGGAGTTGTAATCATGGATCTCCTGATGTCTTCTACTTATCTGGCACATAGCATGCTACTCCACATAACTACATCACTGGAGACAGTTTGCATGAATGAAATGAAAGTAGTGTCCACGTGAACCACTCATTCATCAGTATACACACCTATGATTTGAAATTTCACTGCATGAATATATAGCTTTGTATAATAAATTAATTTAAATCTTCTATGCTATTTCCATTTTCTATTGGCAGGTTTTAAGGAATCTTTAAAGTTGGCTGAAATCATTATCTGTTTTGCACATACTTTTCCATCGTTGCAGTTCTCCAGAATCGTTAGTGTTCCATATTTTAACAAAGGTCATCAGCCTTTTTCTAAAAGCAAACAAACACCAAGTTCAGTGTTAGAACTTCATTAAATGCTCAGATCATTAGTATTTAAATATCTCAGTAAAGAAGAATTAGATGAAGAAAGGCAAGGCCAATTTTTCTAACTAGACAAAGCATTATGAATGCATTTACATTTGATGTCACAATGGTGGTGTGGAAAGAAAAGAACATGGGGGGAATCCACTAGAATACTTTAATGAAATGAAAGCTATGTTAAAAACATATCTATATTTTTTTACTGCAGAAAGTCTTATTAATTAAAGTGAAAGCATAATCCAACCTGTCCCATACAGTGTGTGGAATCCCACACACTGGAGAAATATTTATTTTAACCTCACTTCCTACTATTGTGTGAATTTTCACACAGAAGATACTAGAATTAATATCTAATTCCTACAATAAAAAGTGCAATATACTACCCTGGGGTTATTCAGAAGACAAAAGCAAATTTTTGAAAAGATTAGGGCAGGAGATGATAGTTTTGGATGCATGGACACATTTGCAAACTGAATTGCTGTTGGCCCACAACCAAGCACACACTGCAACCCATTCTACTGGCCAGAAACAATGCTTCTTTTAAGTCTAATTTCAGCAAAAAGAGGGGGCCATGTGGCCAATCAGGAAGGCCATTTGCGGGAGCACATATGTGACCATAACTGGCAACCCCTGCATTAGGGCCATAAAAATTGTGATTCTAAATTTTCTTCCCCTTTCAAGTTTGCAAATGGTAAACAGTTTAATTTTTTTATATAGTGAATTATTACCAAAAGTATCAATTCTTTAGGGTGTCAAAAAAGCATTGACCAAATTTAAATAGTGTTTCAAATCTATGAAAGAACGAATGAAGCATGTGTTTAACAGTTCCGTCTTGTCCTAGCCCTTTAAAGCAGTAATGAACAGTACTTGTTGGGACCTTTTTAAAGATGTACTAGTAATTTATTTTTCATTACTTTTTAGAAATCTTCTAGGAGCACACACCCTGATTGGTTGCAAACATTTACAGGGAGGTGATACCAAATCACTGTTTAATGAACAGGAGTCCATCTGGAAGAGTCCTCAGTCCCAGAAGTATTTCACTTACATTTCTGAATCCTCAATCCAAAATATAAATGTTATATTTAAAGTGAAACTTCCATATTACACCCCTATAGCTGTTTGAGACATGTGCTAAAGGGTTGAAGAAATGACTTTAGCACTCTGTTGACATGGCTAGCATGGACCCTGAGCCATGCCGTGACTGGTTTTGGTTGTATCAGGTCATTTTTGCTACATCGGGCCATTATAAATAATGAGCAGTCATCACAATTGTTAAAGAAAAACATACAGTTCCCTAAAAGAAGTTTTTTCATTAATAGAATTCATGTTTAGCTCCTTAGACTGTAGGTTGTAATGACGTTAATGTAATTAAGCATTTAGGCACCTCTTGAAAATCTTTTAAATCTACTTTTTATGGCTGCTCAGAAAGGCTTTCCCAGATGATATATGTGAAAGTTTTATTACTAAGATGTCAATCAATCCATTCTCTAACCTTTTCATATTCTCTAATCTCTCTAGTTCTTTTGATTTGCGAGCTGCCTTTTTAAGAATTTCATCAGGAACATCTGCTAGTTTAGCAACGTTTAGCCCATAACTCTTTGTGGCAACTTCCCTTGTTATTTGATAAAGGAAAGTGACAAATTCAGGATTTTCTTCACCTTCAGATCCTAGGAAAACAAAAAACAAAAACACACATTTGTATGAAGATGTCATAATTGAGTTCAATATGGTTTATATTTTATTCATCTCAATAACCTGGAAATCTTACTTCAAGTCAACCACCACACTACGCTAGCTTTTCAATCGTTTAAGTCACATTCGCTGGGTGATCTTTCACAGCTTAACCAACCCCACATGGTTGTAGTGAGGATAAAATGGTAAGAAGTATGCCACCTTGAGCTCCTTGGTAGAAAGGTGTGATATGTGAAATGTATATTCATTCATATATATATATGTGTGTGTGTGTGTGTGTGTGTGTGTGTGTATATTTGATATCATACCCCTTTCTTGTTCACGATCATCTTCATTCACCAGAAAAGCCATATGGTAATTCCCAACTTGTCTCAGGTAGGCCCTTTCTAATTCACACACTGGAGGATAATGGGTTACAAACAGTGTCAATGAACCAACCTAGAGAAATAAAATATTTTAAGGCTTTAAAATATGCATACTTCCTATTTAGAGAAGGTGAGGGAGGGGAAGAGGCAACTGGGTTCAGTCCTAGTCATTTGACTGAATCAGCCTTAGTTGTCTTGACAGATGGCCTTTATCAAGAATGGGACAAGGTGTGAACCCTGCTCCTTCTCAATCGCTCTGTGGCTTTTGTTACTGCTGATAACTGTATCCTGGACCAGTTCCACGGAATCTGTTTCTAGGGAAGGTGCACTGAGATAATCATCTGAGGACAACTCATTTTCACAACTTAAAGCCTTCCAAACTTTTAATGTTGGTGACACACTTTTTAGACATGCATCATTTCGCAACACAGTAATTCAGCTTTACTAGCAAACCAGAGGTTAAACTAATCCCTTTCCAGCCCCTGGGGATCATGGGGAGCGTTCGCACTTCACACTAACGTGTCACAACACACAGTTTGAAAAGCTCTGACTTAGATCATTCAAAGGGACAGATAATGCACTTACATCTCTAATAAAGTATTCCAGGGTAGCATAAGCAATTGCAATTCCATCATGTGTGCTAGTTCCTCTCCCCAGTTCATCCAAAATTACTAGTGAATTGGAAGTTGCTTTAGTAATTATATCAGCTGTTTCTGTCAGTTCTTCCATAAATGTGCTTTGACCTTTGAATATGTTGTCTGTGGCACCCATTCTGCAAAATAAAACAAAATTCTCCAGTATTATTAGAAAATAATACAAACTAGAAAACCAGGAAGCACACACTATTCAGTTTTTAAAATAAAAAATGCATAAAGGATGAGTAAAAATCATCTGAACTTCTTTTATGTAATTTTGCTGCATCTGCTGTACATAAGAATATTATCTGGTTACTGAATTACACAAGAAAGAACTCCAAAATATAAAAGTGTTTATTAATTTCAATGGGTCTACTCTGAGTAAAACTTAGTTGAATATCACCCCATGATCTTCAAATATTTATTGCAAGAAAACAAGATGTATGCTCTCTTCCTGCAATTAATTTTAATATTTTGTTTTATATTTCTGCAAACTGCCTGAATGTTTTCTTACAATCATATAAATTTTGTTAAATAAATACTTTTTTGAGCCAGGATATGTTTTGACAAACTTTTCATACTGAAGGTTTAAAATATTTAGTTATGCTTGATACTTCACTGGAAATTACATGAACATCTAGACAACAATGCAGATGTATACTGCCGTGTGTGTTGCACCCTAACCATTTGTTAAACTAATTACATTCATGGAAAGTTTTTTCCCAGGACTTCCTTAGCAGAAGTGGCCTTTATCTTCTGGCTATTTTCAGGAGCAGCTGTAAAAACAAATCTCTTTTGTCCATGATAAATAACAATTCTACTCTGGTCCAACAGTGATAAGTGGTCCAAATGATACATAAAAACCATTAGATAAGAAATGAACTTGCTTTTGGCATCTATTGTATATAGCACCGAGGTACAATATTACTTAGAATAAATACATTTAATCCTCATCAAAAATGTAAAAAGTAAACTATTAAGCCATCCGCTAATATACTCTTATTACTTGCTCTGTGTTTAAAAGCATTAAAAAAAATATTGGGCACTTGAAAATAACTTTGCTGGCAAAGGTACTTCAGGAATGATGTATGTGTTAGTTCACTGCTGCTAAGACAAAACCAATTTGCCACCACCACAAGGCACTGGAAGTCAATCCCCAGCAAATTCCAGGCATGTCTTCAGTTAGTATGCTACTCAACGACAACCAATTTGTTAGTACTTCATAGTTTTTCTTTTAGTTAATTCCAAAGAAGTAAAAAAAGGCATTTTCTAGTATTAATTTACTCCAAAATATTGTATGTTTTCCTAGATTATGGTTGTTCTTCCAGGTCTCTAGTCAATTATTAGTGATACATGTAGCAGATGAGGTCCCTTGTTACCCAAATTATTATAATTTTTCATCTCTCCCCACTATTACACATGCAGCAATACAGTTGCAAATTGCAAATTGTGCAGAGATCCAATTTAATTACTTATTTCAAGTGTTGATAAGAGACTCATCTGCACAGAGCAAATTCTATCTGGAAACAATTCAATAACTCCTGAGCCAACTAAATCACATTCCAGAGAATAAAGCATTTTGTACAATAAATTCAATAGACAATTTAAAAAAAACCAAACACATCTTTCAGATTTTTTGTTTGCATATATCAGACATAAAAATATGCTTTGTTTTTGCTAAAGTTACAAAAGAGGTATATCACTGCTGCCAGAATGTTTTTGATCCTATTAGATGATGTACAACAGGGGCAGCATTGTTTAATTAACTTCTACAAGAAAATACACTCAACGGACACATCAAAGCACAAAGGGGGGAAATGCTATAACCCTAAATTATTAATATGAATTTTCAGCGATAATCATGAGCAACTTCATAAACTGAAACTCTGAAAACAAACAGCATTTAAGGAAATCTTAGTTTCAAAGCAAATTGCTGCATCATGCAGCAGGGAATTATGTAAGCAGGTCTGAATTGCTTAGCACACTGGTCATGAGAGAACCTGCATACCCCTTAAGATCATTACAGACAGAAATATCATGTAATTAAAACATCCTGGAATCTGATGAGGTGGGCAGTTGTGTCAAGTACATCACTTTAGCAGCCACTGTTAAATTTCTTTCTAACAATGAATTATGTTGGCTGCAAGCTGATTTTCCACATAATCACAAATCCATTTCTGATTGGTGAGTTAAAAATGGCTCAAAGATAAAACTGAATGTTGAACTGGGTCATTAGGAACCTTTGGTGACAGTTTCCAGCTACCACAAGGTAACTCTCACAGGAAATAGGACCATCCCACAAAACAGGTGAATTGATGAGATGTAAATGGGAGACAGAAACATGTGGCCGTGAAAAGGAGGGGACATGATAAGTAAATAAACATGTTCCCTAGGTAGGTAGAGGATACACAGCCCAATGTGGAATCTGAGCCTTTAAGCATAACCCATCTTCATATTTCCAAACTTTTCCAGTGACCTTGAGAGCTAGAAACTTGCTCTTCTTTTCAAGAACGAAGCTATACACTGAGCCAAGCAGCACACACAAATGATATTTTAAAAGAAATGTCTGATGAAGTGAAATTATAATTTACAAGATTACTTATCTTTAAAACATGAAGCTTTGACATCTCACCTGGTAAATATACCAATCACAATACCAATTCTTGCTTCCTCAGCTGGTACATAGGAACCAATTTGTGCCATGACTGTGATCAATGCAACCTGCTTTATATAAGAGCTCTTTCCACCCATGTTAGGTCCAGTAATTATCATTACCCTTTGACCGTCTTCCTGGAGAAAGGGAAACTATCATTAAAATACTTTTCAGAAGCAGGTAATTTAACAGTTCCAGGACTGCAACCTCTGGACCAATGTCAAGGGTAGACCTACTCAGAGCACACTGCAGTAATCCAACCTTGAGGTTCTAATGCATGAACAACTGTGGTCAAGCTACCCCTGGCATCCCCATTCCACACTTCCCAGATACATATTGAAGACATAAAGACACTCCACACAAAATTAGCTGTTCAATCATAATAATGTAGTACCAATAGGTCTTCTGGCAATCAATGTCAAAAGATAGCAAACTGGGAGAGACATCCATATGGCATAAAAATATCAGGCACGACCCACATCTCAGCAAAAATGACTTACTCCTCTCCTCCACCCAGGAAGGGTTCAGTTCCATGCTAAGTTGGATTCTCACTGTAGGGACATGATACCACTTATCTCTCACATCACTGAAGGCTACTTCCAGTTTCTCACACTGTAAATGGTCTATGCACAGTATTCCAAATGCAGCCACATCATAGATTTGTATAATGGCGTTTTGATATTAGTAGTTTTACTGTATTTTCAATTCCTTTCCCAATGATCCCTAGCATGAAATAGCTGCCACACTGAGCTATCCACTATCTGCTTTTTCAATAGGTTTCAATTCTACACAATTTCACCAACACATGTGGTGCCTCAGAACATAACCCCTGCATAAACAGGCAGATGCCTGTAGCCCACTTATTCCTAATCTCTGCTTCCTGCTACTTAACCAATTCCTGGCCCACAGAAGGACCCCTCCTCTTATTCCATGACAGTTAAGCTTACCGTACTTAGTACCCTGTCAAAAGCTTTTTGAAAGTCCAAGCACAGTATGAAATTAAGAAACCATGTTCAGTGCCTTTTTAGTCTACTGGGGGGGGGGGTTAGGGGGCTAATCCACACCAAAAACATGGTGTCATGATATATTTTGATTCCCTATACCATACTTACTGATAAATGTGTATCATTTGGAACATACTGCTCTTGCTCTCCCAATAACACATCAATCACAGGGTGCTTCCCATTTTTTATCATTATCTCTGACCTTCCATCTTTTATGACAGGTCTGAAAAGAAAATTATGTTATAGCATGTTAGATGGAGTTTGGGGTGAGGCATCTGAAACCAGACTCTTGCTTTTTTGAAACTGAATCAATCAGGCCACAATCTACAGGAAATGTAAATCAATCCATCCTACCCAGGAACTACACTGTCTAATCTTTTGAAGCATCACTAGGTGTCCTCAAATATGACAAACATACGTTTGACAGTACTCGTTTTTGTAGTCTAGTAAAAAAAAAATCAACAAAGCTAACCGTAATATTCTACCATTGTTTAGACAGTGATTACCTGCAGTAGTCTCCTTGTTTGGCAACCTCAGCCAGGGAAAATATACAGTCCACAGTTGCTAGGTGACCCACAGCTTTAGATATTGTGTAGTAATGGTCGTTAAAATCACTATACAGAGGTAAATTGGGGGGGGGAGAGAAAGACGTGAATAAAATATTAATATGAATAAAATGTTGAACTAAGTGGCAGCACAGGATAGTCTTTTAAAATATTGCTATATAAAGTTCCTATATAAAGGTTTGGACCAGCACTTTTTTGGAGTAAAACTGAAAATAAAAAAGAGATGCTAGTACTCATATATGTGCAGTGGGTGTCAGCAAAAAATGGCTGCCATGGGCAGGAAAAAAAGGTGCTGGTACTCTGTACCAAGAAGAGCGCTCTCTCTCTCTCTCTCTCTCTCTCTGTGTGTGTGTGTGTGTGTGTGTGTGTGTCTGTCTCACTCACACACAGGCAGAGACAGAGAGAGAGAACACCCTGGTTGGGACTATTCTTTAAAGGACAAACAAAATTAAATTAGACCATATGGAAAGGGAATATAAACAGTGCAATGAGGACTGCCATAAGATGAAGAATTTATCGCATTAAAATAAGTATTTGCCCTCCTCTTATGAATTACTACTGCAAGACGTTAGTGATATCAGGTGACACATTCTTCTTTTGTAGCATGTCAAGCCAAGTGATTGATGGTAGACGCTATACACAAACGAAAAGGGACAACAGGCCCTGCCTGCAGACTTACATACTAAAGATTGCCTAAACTTTCCATTTGTTAGGCAAGAAAGCAGGAGTAGGAATAGCTGGCAAAGCAGCGGCTGAGTCAGGGCTGTGTGGGTGCATCAGTGGAGCCAATCCTGCACTCTTGCCAGTGCACCCACACAGCCCTGGCTTAGCTGCAGCCTTGACACACACACCCTGCCCAATCCAGGTAAGCAGGAGCAACACGGCTGTTGGAATGGCACCACCCCACCATACCAGTGCCTCATGCTTTCTTCTCTAACAGACTTTGTACCATTGCAGACTTTGTTCAAGAGCAGAACCTACCTCATATTGATCTGCAGCACTCTGTGCTAGGGTAGAGCTGTGTTACCCAGCTCTTCTGGCAGCTCCTCTCTGCCATTAGGGGGGAAGAATATGTTAAGTGTTGCCAGCAATACATGAGTGATGGTCCTGAGGCATAGCTGCTGTTTTTCTTCAACTGTTGTAGAAGTTGTCTGGGTACAACAGTGCCATTGGTGGGAAGAGGCGGACAGTCTGTCACTGTAATTAATTTCCTAATGACATTCTAAAAGTCTTTTACTAGAGAAATGTCACATTCTTAAGCTGAAAGTTCTTTTGACTTTTCTATTGTGTTATTGTGTTGTTCATCAGGAGGCAAAGAGGGACAACTGCTCTAGGCCTCACAGTTAGTGCCCATGGCCAACAGCGCCACTGCCCCCCCATCTGCCTGGCAAGGCTTTCTACCTCTGCCCTTTCTAGAGAAAAGCAGGAAGGGGGGAGGTGGAGGGCTTTGCCAGCACTGCCACTGCAACAGCAGCAACAAGAGGAAAAAATGTAAGGAGGTAGGGGGAGATCACGTCTGCTAAAGTAGTGGCAAACCCTCTCCATTACCAGCAAAAAGTAAGCTGGGGAGAGGAAGAGATCCCCCACTACAATGAAGAGGAACGACAGCAGAGACAGGAAGGGGTACACATAGTGTAATCTGCTCTGGATCCTGCACTCCTTAGGGACAGTCCTATTTTGGTGTAATTCTGTTGATTATCTTAGGTTACTAGAGTGCACTGCTATAACTAGAGGCACACTGGCATCTATTTCAGGTGGAGCATCTCAAGAAGGGTTGTAGCTCACATATACAGAAGTTTCCAGGTTCAAACTCCATCATCTACCTGAAATTCTAGAGGGGTGATGTCAGTCAATGTAGACAATGTTAGGCTACATTGAACCAATGGTCTGACTCAGGCTTCCTCAACCTCAGCCCTCCAGATGTTTTGAGACTACAATTCCCATCATCCCTGACCACTGGTCCTGCTAGCTAGGGATCATGGGAGTTGTAGGCCAAAAACATCAGGAAGTCCGAGGTTGAGGAAGCCTGGTCTGACTTATAAGGCAGCTTCTGGTGTTCCTATGACCAATTAGGCTACCCTTTACTTACTTTATAAAAACTGTAAAATGTGATAGAAGTACTCAAATGGGTCGTGGCAGTTCTAAAGTAATGCCTCTATTTTAAATATAACCACCTTTCGAAGGTCAGGTAAGCCTATAAGCAAGGCAAACTACACACCAGACGCTTCAATAATAATAATACGAATTGTAAGCTTTATAGTTATATTTTGTAACCTACTTTATAATCTTATTTCAATAGAAAAAACTGAATTTGTAAACTCACTCTAAAAAGCGTAGCCATTCAGCACTGCAGTCAAGGACTAGCTGCTCACGTAGCTGATTCAAATGCCTGTAATTTTCTACAATAAAAGGAGTGTGGAAGCGGCTGACTGCTTTTGTGCTATAAGAGAAAACCAAATAGGAAATCAAGGTTACTAAGCAATCAGTTATGTAGCAATATGCAAAAATCAGACCAGTTCTTTTTTTAGGACCAGTACACAAATTAATTTTTTTCTGCACGGAGGTAAAGAAAGAGAGAGCGATCCATACTATCTGAAGTGGAAATGTTCTTGACAAAGCAGCTGCTGCTCATATCTGCTCAAATACTTTACTTGCAGTAAACATACCATTGTGCATCAAACAACAAAAAACATACTTTTACTTCATGGAGGTTCCCTTCGTATAGTCAAAATGCAACATGAGAAGCAGTCACAATTACCTATTATGAACACAATGTACCGGCAACTAAATCTACACAGCACTGTAACTTTACATTAACAGTTTTCAGGAAAGCAGGATAAAAAGAAATGAAGAGGAATGGGTATTGAAGGCTGCATGGAAAGAGATGCTAGACAAAGATGTAGCATTGGTCCATTTTGTTTACCTACCTGGTTTAGCCCTATGTAGAATCTCTTACATAAGAGCTTCTTAAAAGCATTTAATTCATTCTACAATATTTAGAATGACCAAATATTTGATTAGAGCTTTTTCAGTGCTCACCAAAATTTTCAAGTTTTCAGTTGGGTGGTTGTCGTTTTTTTAAGTCCTTGAAAAAACAGTAACCCCCCCCCCAAAAAAAATCTTCACATTTGTACATGGAAGTAATTCCAAGTTCTGTTGTGTGTAAGCCCAAGTAAACGTAGCCTTGGGTCCTCAGATTGGGCACTGCTGAGAGTACCATATGCTCCCCAGAGGTGAATTTAGCATGTATTAGAAACCCGGTGTTTTTACTGTTCCAGCTCCAGTCCTTCTGGAATCAGTTATCACCTGAATTTAGACAACTGCCTAGTCTCTTAATATTTAGGCAACTATTGAAAACATTTCTGCTTCAGAAGGCTTCCCCTGAAGTGTGACTCAGTAATTTTATGGCCTCTTAATTGTACAAATACTACAATTTCATATTCTAAATAAACTATAAAATATACATTTTATGTTGTAAAAGGAGTTAAACAAGCTTAGTTTTGCTAAGCAAGTAAGTGCTGCATGTTTCAATACTTCCCAAAAGAGAAAGGATAATCATTCTTCAACTATTTCTTTATTTCTTGTTGCTTTTTCAAAACTGCTCTTTCAAAAACAAAATGAAAAAGGAGCAGCTGTCCCAGCTCAGTTGCACAGATCTGTATGTAATGTTTAGTGAGGCCTTTCAGACATCTCAATTATTTCTAAACCAACAACTTAAACCTTTATCTACCTGTTTTTAGGCCAAAGATAGTGTCTCTCACTGCAATCTAGATAGCTTGCATTTACTTTTATTTCCACAGACTCTCTAATCCAAGTTGCAGTTCTATTTGAGAAAAATAATAATTATGCTACCACTAAAAACTGTTCTTATGTATTATATTTTGAATCGGGGGGGGGGAGTTCCTACTCATCCCCCCCCCCCAGAAAAAGTGCTCCAATCTGTATCCTTGAAAGTTGACATGCAACATAACACACAACATAGAATCTTAGAATAGAATTCTAGAGTTGGAAGAGACCCTGAGGATCATCTAGTCCAACCACCTGCAATGCAGGAATGTGTAGCTGTCCCATAAGGGAATTGGACCTGCAACCTTGATCTTATCAGCACCACACTCTAACCAACTGACTTGTCTTTCTACAGCACTGAAATCTAACTGACAGACACAGAAAGTTACTAGTGATTTCCTATTTCTTGTGACAAGGCACCCAGGCCTTGAATATACTCAATGCAGATATTCACATTGGTGGCATGTTATGAACCTGAGGCAGCTCCCTCCCTGCCCCCATTCTTTGATTGTGACATGTATATCCTGCTCTTACATGGGCAGCAGTTTCTCATCCAGACTACACTTGTTTATCTTCACTAATATTACAGCATTTGGTGTTCCCAGACAATTCACCAGGCTCCTTCTGAAAGAGTTCTTTATATCTGCTTACACTTACATATATGCTTCTGAAACACAAAACCAGCAAACACAAAACACAAGACAAAACGGGAAGATTGTCCAATGCATGTAGCACATGGATCAAGAACCTTTTGTTTTTCATGATAGTTTCTTGATTGGTACTCTTATCATTTTGATGAGCTTCTGATATGAGCACATGCTCTTAGATTCTATTTTATTTTTAAAATCAAAATAATCAATCAATTCTATGCTAAGAGACCTTTAGAGAAATCAAATTTATTCAGAAATAGGCTTCTACTCCTTTCTGTGTAAAATACATATTCCTTCCCTTCTTTGGTAACCCTGATTAAGCAAAGAAGTCCAATGACAATTAGTAAACAGAGCCCTTTTGATCTAGCATAACATTTCAAGAATATAATTCCAGAGGATGCTTTGACTGGGTGAAATACTTCGGGCTTTAATTCAGTCCTAGATTAAATTACCAGCTGGATGACTAGATATCATGTATGTTATAATATTTATCTTTTGCTTTAACATCAGATCCATTTCAGCTTACAAAGTTTAACTTGTTATGATATGTACATGCTATTTTTAAAGGGAAAATATTTAAGTAGCAATAAAAGATTTTAATTCCTCGCTGTGAATTAGTGTGAGCAAAGTCACACTGAAGTCTATGGGATGTACCTGCACATAACAGATGACAGGACTGCATTCTCAGTATAAAAAATAAAAGGAAGAAGGAAATCAGTTTATCTACCTCAAACTTTATGTTACATTATGAACATCCACACATTATAAATGGAAGCTCCATAAAAGTAGAAAAACGTATTAACTAAGATTATATATAAATGATGAGAACACAAGCTGTCCAAATATATGTCAGATTCTTTTGATGGGAAAATAGCCCTGAATTTAGTAAGGAATCTGACTACATTATGTGACTGAGTAAAGTACTGCAGACATACATGGAATTCCTGCACCTACAGATATATTACTGTTAGGCCTGACTACAGCTTTTGAGTGGTCCTTAACAGACTCCCCATGGCTCCTGCATCTTACACCCTTCCTCATGGCAATACTCCACTATAGTGCTGACTGGTCCACAAGCCTGCAAAGTGAGCATGGCAGGAGGCTGGCAACTGTCTCACCACTTCCCTGTGATGCAGTGCTTACTGGGCAGAGATTTTCCTGATAGTGGTGATCCTGTAATGGGCTGCTGCCACCAAGTAAGCCAACAGGCAAGCAGGAATGAGGCTGACTCACAGTAACCACAAGTGAACTGACCACCGTCAGGCAAACCAAGAAGTCAGCTTGAAGTGGTGACTGGTCATTGCTGGGGACCTCTGTGTCCATAGGACCAGGTAAAGCAACATCCCTGGTGGGCTGTACCGGCATGTGTAGAAACCTGGAAATGTCCCCTTTGCCATGTGCTGATGCCAAGACTGATTACTATACCTAAGAATATTAGAGACTGATTTATAGTTTGCAAAGGTGTATTTAACATTCATCCAACCCCACCATTCAGAACTTTAAGGTGCTTTCATGCAAATCATCTTCATCATTAACGTAAATAAAATTAATGGTAATCATATTGCAATTTACATTATCTTTACATACCTGCTAACTTTAATCCAATCATATGGTACAGAAGATAAAAGTGAGTTCTTGACTTCAATCTGAAACTAAAATATCTCTGCATTACTATTATTGTTATCATTGTTATCATTTATTCCATACTATCCCACCCTTCATCAATTCACAATCTATGGGCTCCTGGGAGGAAAAGCGAGATACAAACATATAATGCATTCACATAAAGAAAAATTAAGTTGTACAAACCCTCTTGTTTGAACTACAACATTCCACAGTCCTAGTATTTTACAGCAAAATACCCAAAATCTTGCCACTGAGATTATTGCAGCCATCAATAGATGGCTCAACAAATTGTTATGTAAAATATCCTAATCAAGTTTCTTCCCATGCTACCTCTTGTTACTACTTATGTTACAGTTTAACTTATCTGTTATAATGTCAGATTGTATAGCTAAAAGTGTGTGTGTTTATTTATTTATTGGATTTATATCCCACCCTTCTTCCAAAGGAGCCCAGGGCAGCAAAGTGGGTATCAAGTGTTACCTACTTTTAAAAACGATTCTCAATGCAAAAGCCAGAGGCTGAGCTTATATCTATCTCACTTGTTCTTTGTTTACCCTTGAAAAAAAGCTTTACCAACAGAAGATAATCTCTTTATATATGACTGTATCTAATATCTCGGATTAGAATGACAGTAGCAGGAAAAATGATTTGGAGTTAATGCAGCTCTATTGGTTGCAAGTCAGCCCATTGGTTGGAAAACAGGTGTCCGGTTCAGAAATGGGGGCTAGGAAAATCAATGTAGCAAAGTGATATGGCAATTCAATGTTATGTATAATTTGGCATTTGGTAGTCATCATACAAATCACACATCTTTTGTCAAACTGACTGAAAAGGACTGTGTATCAACTATTTAGCTGCTGTCCTTCTATTTGCATTCCATTCAAAACATTTAAGCAGCATAAACAGTGGTAAAGATTAACCTTTCTACTAGCAAGAAATCCAAATGCTCTTTCACAAAAAAATGCACTTCATTTCTTTTATATAGCATATCAATACAATATCAGGGGAAAACATTTCTAACTGTTTAGCTTGCAGAAGCATTATTTATTCTGACAGCATATAACCTGCCTACCTAAAGATGAGTAAGAGGATCATTTTCTCACTTTTGAAGATGGGTTGGCAGTCTTACCCTTGTTTTGTCTTTTTATTGTTTCCAAATCCTTTCTTATATTGTATGGGTTCACTAATTAACCAATTCAGTTGCACTATAATTTATTATCATCTGTGCTCAAGCAAGCTTTAATTTGGTAATCTATATGCTACTCTTACATCCGTCTGATGGATTTCTCTTGAAGAAGCCAACAAGATTCTTGGAGAATACTCTCTCAACCATTATCTGTGAAAGTTGATAATAGCTATATGGCAGAGATTGGCTGGATTTGTCAGATCACTGGACAATATCATTGTTGGAGGGGAATGTACTTTCTGACTGAAAGGAGGCAGCAGTAATATCCCAATTTAATATAAACTAGTCTCTCTACTTGTGGGTAATGTGCCTCTTCATGCAGTGCTTGGGAGGCCCTTTTGATTGACCCAGGTCAATGGGAACAAATACGAATTCCCCAGCAGCTTAGGTGGTTCTAGTCTTTGAAGCTTTGTCTGCTGACAAATGAACACTTGAACAAAATATGACCGATGGCAAACACAACAAGAAAAAATATGAAGCAAATTACTTACTGCTTGTCCTGACACCGTAACATAATCCTTAGAGGGACAATTTAGGATTCTTCGTATATCCTGAAGGTGTAACTGGATCTGAGAGTGAACTTCCTGAATCTCATCCTTCCTCTTTCTTATTAAGGGAAATTCTTCAAGATCCTTGAACAGTTGGGTTTTGTCTCCACTTCTAAGTATACAGAATCCAACAGTTAAGATAGACCCCCCCCCAAAGTACACACATTCCTTAATACTAACAAAAAAAGTACAGTATTTACATTCGTAACAAGAATAATATGTTACCAAATATATGTAATACTAACACACAAACTCCATTACCTTTCAGATTAAGAACAATATTTTAAGTGCATAAAAACTAAAGAAATAAACAATTTTGTTTCACTTGCAGGGATTATAGTCAAAGTACGGTAACTTTATGACATTTCAAAGCAATGCTGTAAACTGGGATATATAGCGTTTGATGTACAGAATGTAATAATAAAAAGAAACCAATTAGTATAACTATTGTTCACTGCCCCAGGAACTTATGGTGAAGATTAAGAAATCTTACTAAGAAACACTCAAGGAAACTAACTGCTCAAGGTTAAAAATGAATGGACAGCTTAGAAACTGAACAATCTTTCAGTTCAGTAGGATTTATTCTATATTCACTTTCCATACTAACTGCACATTGAGTGTCTATGCTAGGTGGCTATGGTCAAAACCAGTGGGCTCAAAGACCTTTGCCTGAGGGTAAATGATGGGGCAACAGGGTAGCAGTAGTGGTGTCCAGGTAGCATGGCCAGGACAGAGGATTACAAGACCTTCTGTTAGAGCCATTTGTTAATATTACATAAGACTGTTGTACCATGCTTATATAACAATTTAGGCTGCAATCCTAACCCTATTTACCTGGAAATAAGCCCAGTTGAATTCAGTACAGCTTATTTTTGAGTAAACATGGAAAGACTGCACTGTTACTTACTTTGCTGCTGCTTCATTAAGCATCCTTATATACTTTTTTGTTGAACAAAGCAATTCTGGAATTTCCAAAAGACTCTTCTGTAATAAAGGTGCTTGAACCTGAGTACGTATAGCTGGAACCAGTGCTGTGATTGCTGTTTCCAACTGAGAGAGTGTGCTGACTACCAGATAGAACTCTTGAATGGAACACTGAAATTAGAAACAATTGTAACTTCAAGGCTAATGTTTTAAAAATTAATGTTCCTTAGTTTCTTCCCAATTTTGGACATTCATTGAAAATATATGCACCCTGATTATACTTGCTGCTGGTATCACAATGGGAAGGGAACTTACATACATGGGATGCAGTCAAATTGGTGTCGTTTTAATAATGTATAAATTAGAATGTCAATAATATTTTATAATAATATTTTAATTTATATTTTAATGCATAGCCTGAAACTGTAGGCCTACTACCTACAGCATTATGAGGCAACTTGCTCAACAAAGACTGAAGGAAATCCATATTTTGTATTAATCACATGAACAAAATACTTTTCTCAAGACACTGCTAATATTGAAAGTGATTTAACCCTCCACTTAATGGTGGAATTCAAACATACTGCAACACGGCGGGGTGGGGGGAGGTAATGAAAACCTTGGGTCAGCCAGCTTATTCAACCAATGAAGTGTGAATTGCCATGCAGTGTTTCAGGGCCATCTTGCCTGAATTAAATGAAAACAGATGTTGTGTACTCTTTCACCACAATGATTTGTTTGTAGCTTCTTCTTTTTTTACTGGAAAACGGAGGGTCTCAATAAAGGCTTTTTTTTAAAAAAAAACTTGCAGGTAGTATTATGCTTAGTAACCAGGTATTTTATTTCAGGTATATATTTGACCCTGGGACTAGATTTACAGTGTTAATTTTTCTACTAATGTAGGGTTAAATTTTCTCCTTCCTTTCAATGTATGAATCTTAAACCTAAATTTCAAGGAAAAAAATGCCAGTTTCAAACCATATTTTAATATAATAGAATATAGTATTAATCATTTGTAGCTTACTTTTTTTTATTTTACCTTTTTGTGATAAATACTACAGAGTCCTCGTTCAACATCTGGCATCTTACATAGAAGGTGCTTTATTTGGCCAAAGACACTCGATTCTGATAGGAGAACCTCAGACACCGCATCAAGTCGAGAATTAATTTCACTGTTAAAAAATGATTATTTTACTACAGTTTGAATGTTCTCTGCAATATAAGAATTTCAGGATCTCTGTCTGGATCACCCCACTTAAGTGGGCTGGGTAGATACAGTGGTACCTCAGGTTACATATGCTTCAGGTTACAGACTCCGCTAACCCAGAAATTGTACCTCAGGTTAAGAACTTTGCTTCAGGATGAGAACAGAAATTGTGCTCCAGCGGCGCGGCAGCAGCAGGAGGCCCATTAGCTAAAGTGGTGCTTCAGGTTAAGAACAGTTTCAGGTTAAGTACGGACCTCCGGAACGAATTAAGTACTTAACCCGAGGTACCACTGTAGAAGGCAAAGTTACATAAAGCAGCAAGTTTCTTAAAAGATCATCAACACCATCAGAAAACAGTTTACAATGAAAAGATTTAAACCAGAATAACCTTTGCTTATTCTGTGGATTTATATTCTCCACTGGCCACAGCACAGACATCCTTTATTAGTTAACTAGGGGCTGTTCCACTGCTCGCTCTGCCTGCTAACACCCCTGCTGCAATTCCCTCCACATTAAACCCCTAGAGCTTCCCCTTAACATAACATGCAACTATTAAGCTTGCATTTCACTTTCCCAACCCCATTTCTGAAGCCGCTTCTCTCTTCTAGTCTGCAATCCCTCTTTGCACCCATTTTCATCTTCACCCCCATGTCTCCTCCTCCTTTTGTGCACCCTCCCCTTGCTTGCACGCGCGTGCACACACACACACACACACACACACACACACGTAGCCTACTGCATCTTTCTCCTCCAGGCGGTTTGGAGGAGTTCTTCAGATTCTTTCATGGCCCTGGTTTCATCTTTAACCCCAATCCCATACCTCCAACCTTCTCATTTTTTGCAACCTCCCTTGCACACCCATTTGTACCTTCAGTCTCTTTTCTCAACTCTCCTTTGCACACAGAGCACCCCTATTTCCATGCAATGTCCTGTCTCCTATTCTGCAGCTCCCTTTGCGTGTGCACATACCATGATGATATAAGTTACTGTATCTTTAAGATGAACAGACTCTGAAAAGCAATCCTGCCAGTTATCTCGTTTAGTTAGAGAACTTTTTGGTTGGTGAGTGTTATATTTTATTAACAAGCAAACACCCATATATGCACATCTTCTGAATTCCTACAGTGAATCTGGAACATCACGTTGAAGACAACACATGATACCAGAAGTGAAACATACTGTAGCACAGTATTATGGAGTATCTGAGGGCTCCACATCCTTTATTTCTCACACGTGAAGCAGCTGGGGAATGGAAGAGGGTGAAGTTTAAAACAGTCTCTCTCCCCCCCCCCCTTACCCTGTTCTTCCCTTTAGGGATATAGAGACACTCAAGAGTTTTTAAAAACAAACCAATTTTAACAAGAAGAAATAGCAGAGATGGGTACAATGCAGCAGCTAACACTTTCCCCCACTCCTTTATTGGGGCACTCAAACTTTGATTTTAAACATTTATTTCCCCAACCCCAGAGTCACCCCTGCTCGCTCCACTGAAAGCTCTGTCATGTTTAAAATTGCCACTTTCCCCTCCCCTTCAGATTTACTCCATCCCTGCTCTATTCAAAGCTCTGTTGTTGTTTAAAACTATGTACCATTTTCCTCTGTGTTTTCATCCCTGCTTTATTAAAACCTCTGTTGCTCTGTTTTCCTCTTTATCTCCCCCCCCCCCTCAATTCGAATTTCTGGCACTCTTTTATGCCAACACTTTCCCTCCTCTCAATTTTTCTCCCTTCTTGCTCCCATGTCAAGCTGATTATACTAATCTCTCTGGATAAACCAGCAATCAGGGGCTAGCTTAGTACCAGTCTAGAAATTAGGAGAGCCAATACAACATACAGGACACACACACCCCTCTCTAAATTGAAGGATCTGGCATTACATTTATGGATAGCATTCCACCTGAGCTGGCCTTTTCAAAAAGCTATGACTGTTATGATTCAAATGGAGGACCATTCTCTGAGTCAAAAGGCTTCAGACATCCCCCCCCCCGCCTAGTTTTTGTATGGGTATTTAAAGGAGAACATAAATACATCTAAAAATACTAACTATATATCACATTGGGACTGGAAAAACATGTTTATGAACTCTATTTATGAATACATAATAAACTAACATGAAGCAGTAAATGTAAACATACTACGACAGAGGAAAGATGAAACACTACCCTCGAAAGGTTAATCTGCACTTTAAATCATTTTCACATATGGCTATGCTACTATAGCTCTAGTAATCTAACACAAAAGAAGCATGCATACACTTTGCCTGCTGTAATCCTCAATATTTAAAAACCGGGTCAAGAGAACATCATCCAATATCAAGTGACCTATTTTTTTTCACCTCACTATGTTTTTTAAACACTTTCCCAAGAATAATAAAATTCCATAGAGGATTATGTATGGGATAAATATGTCACTGTAAAAGGGCCATTTAAAACATTTTTGCTTCTACTACAATCTGTTGTAAATACAGTACAACAAATATTATGAGAAACTAAATATTCAGATTGCATTATCTGAATTTTAGTTTGTTTTTATATCTGTACTAGGACTCGAATCATGTATATTGTCTACATTTTATACAAACACAAATTGCACTACAATATTATTTAGATTTACAGCAATTGAGATAGATGGGTCAAACTTTCTATATACTTTTAGCATAAAAGCTGCAACAGTCTTTTTTCTGTCTGGAAGCCCCTGAGTATAAACAACCATGTGGCTGGGGGACGGGGACAATATGGTCCGTGCCAAAAGTGTGAGAGAAAGTTAAACAAAAACCCATGCAAAAATACCCATCAAGTTTTGAGCCTGACAGACTCTTCAAGGAACTGCAGAACTATTACTAAGATGAAGTTTTCTTTTCTTCTCTCAACCTTCTAAGTAAAACATTAAAAACTTGAAACATCCTACATATCCCACAGCCCATTTCTAGCAATTTTAGAATGGCTCCTTTTGGGTTTTTTGTGGTATAATGGCACAGCTCTCTTCATATTTGTGAAACAATAGTGAAAATATTCATGAATGCATCTAGAGGGATGACTAGATCTGCATACTACTATCTCCACATCTGTTAAATGGCAATCAAGGGCTTTTGTTTTGCACAAGTAAAATGCAACTTCAGCAACAATCACCTTGAAAAAGGAAACAATCAAATTTGTACAAATGAAGGATTTAAATGTTTGCCAAATACAGGTAATCTTATGCAAGGGTTATGTTCCTGGCTATCAGATGTATAAGCAAAATTGTGTAAAGTACTAGGAAACCATTTTTTTTAATTGTTGCAATTAACAGTGAGGGATAAACGCAGCTCTTAGTCTTCCTCCTCTTTTTCCTCACTGGATGACACTTCAGGGGATGATATGAGGATAAGGGGGATTGACCGATAGTTCAAAGAGGTGCTTGGGGGGGGGTCAAACTCTGAAATCAAATCATTTCTCTACAACTCGGAATATGTTTGCCCTTTCTCTGCCATATAAAATAGTTGCAGCTGTGTGTGGATAATCTTTAAGTGTCTAGCATAAGAGACAGGATCACTTTTCATACAAAGTTGTATTCATACCTCAATTGTAGTAGGAGAGGAGCCATTCTCCATAGCATTATGAAAATCTATTTATGAGCAATTAGCCCAATATTGGGACATCAAGCTAGACCACTTCACACATGACTTCTATCTCCGATACAATGGTCCCTGTCTCACTCTCATGTCCCACTCCCATATTTTCCAAAATAAAGTTTTAGTTCCAAAGTATTTACTGGATGTTGATCCAATTCTAAGCAGAATTACTACTGGGTCTAAATTAGGCTTTAGTCATACACATTCCATCCTTAGGGAGAGATGAGCCATTGAGTAGAATGCATCCGTAATGAAAAGCTGCAATCATCATAAATAATTCTGATCTACAATTACAGCACATTTTGTTGCAACAACAGTCATTCATCATGATAAGTCAGGAGAGGAAGCTGCTGAATGCAAACTGATTAGGAAAAAAGATAAAAAGGCACATCAGCCGGTGTCATAGCTTTCTCAACTTCCATTCATATATTACTGCAAAGGAAAAAAACTGCTGACTGGTGAGGATTTTACATAAAATTCTAAATTCTGAAATTCAGTTAAATGACAACAACAAACAACTGCATGCTTCCAGCTAGCAGAATTTTGTCTCCTACCAGTGATCACTAACCACTAGTACTATAACAGGGGAATGTCTCTCCCATTGTTTCCAACTGTTATCAAACTAAACTGCCAAGGGCAGACACTGACTCTTCTATAATTGTAACAATCACTGCATAGCTGAAAATAGTTCCTAGGATGAACATGTAAGTAAGACACAGGAGTGATCCCCAATGGGCACAGCAGAAGTTAATTCTCAATAAATTTACACCGTAAGAGTATCTTATGGGATTCCCTGTAAGAAAGCAAAACAAAACCCAACTACGTTAGAAGTGAAGCATTTTATTTATTTCCTTATGTTTCTGTTCTGGTCTTCCTCTCAATGGAAGCACAGGGTGGCTAGCAATACAGAACATCACAATCAAAACAAATAAAATATTGTTAAAACATTGCCTCAAATCTAAAAATGGAATCAGAACAAAGCAGCAACACTAAAATCAACAAAACTATCTGTTACATCCCAATGCCTAGCTAATGAAGAGTTTTTATTTTATACCTAAGTATGGCTAAAGTCGAGGACAACTATATACTATTCAAAAAGGAGTTCCATTAAACGTAGCAAGTAATGCTATTACACTGCCAGCATGTTCAAAGGATGCAGAAACAGGCAAATGAACTTTTTGTAATAGCCAAAACCTAAAAATACACTAAATTTTACATGGAGTATAAGAGCTGGAGTAGCAGAGCTGATCTGAAAGTTGGTAATTATTCCTCAAAGCTAGCAGTGTTTAATTTAGCCTAAGAAGAAAACTAGCTGCATAGACTCTCATCGAAGGAAAAACAAAATAAGTATACCTTTAAAATAATCAATATCCAGCTCAGCTATTGGGTAGCAAAGTTATTTGGTAATGAATACCTGGATTTCAAAAGAGGCTGTGTCACCCATTTCTTTAGTCTTCGTTGCCCAAATGAAGTTTTTGTATGATCCAAGACCCAAAACAGGCTGCCTTTTTTTTTCTTATCAGTCTGCAGTAATGACAGTGTTTAAAACACATTTGAAAGAAAATATGGGAAATCTGAACTTTAAGAATCTTAGTTCTTTAAACATATTGCTTTTCATCAACATAAAATAAAAGAAGTATGATAAAAATGAACAACAAAATAAGTTTAACTTTTTCCTCAGAAACTCACATTTCCTTGAATGTCTGTGGATCCTTTTTTTTTGAAAAGTGGTGGTTTATTATTATTATTATTATTATTATTTATTTATTTATTTACGGCTATTAGCCCATAAAAAAGTGGTGTTACAGTGGCTACCACAATCCTCCCATAAAGAGGTCAATGTTAATAATATCTACACTTCTGAAAAGATTGTGCTCTTTGATAAATGACATTTGGTTCTAGTGGCCAATTACTTTGTCTTTTGTCTGTTTGTTCTACAACTTATTTCCACACATTATACATACTAATAACATCAATGCAGTGATTTAGATATGAATCTCTTGAACTTCTGGGGGAAAACTTTACTTTTTCTTTTACTTTCTATAACTCCTTCAGTGATCTTTGTGACTAGATTCCTGCTTTTGGTATAAATGTTTATTTTTTAATCTTTAGCCATTTTTTAATCTTCAGTAAATTCCTTCTCTCTTTGGCTTATTTTCCATTTACAGTTGTGTTCCAAGTGTTTGTGCCTTTTATGGGCAAGAGCTTCACTTTCAAAAAGGAAGTCTTATCTTCAGTATACAGTCATACCTTGTGTTGCATTAGGTTCATGTTGTGTCTTTTCGGCTTGCGAACGCAGCAAACCCGGAAGTGTATACTTCAGGGTTTTGCTGCGTGCGCATGAGCAGAAACGGTTTGAGCGCTTCGCACATGCGCAGAAGCGTTCTGAGCACTTCACGCATGCACAGAAGCACTTTATCGCGCTCTGTGCTTGCGCAGAAGCACTGCTCTAGTTGCAGACTTTTCGGGGTGCAAACGGTACCCCAGAATGGATCAAGTCCGCAACTAGAGGTACCATTGTACTTATATCTGGCCTTTCATTCATCACATAATTAAAAATGACTAGACCAGGACCTGCTTAACTTCAACAAGCTGGCTGCATCATATGCCCTCAGAACATGCATGCCCTGCACCATGTTCTTCTTCTTGATTGGTATTAAATTATGCTGGCATCCTTCTAGAGTTGTACATTATCTGATAAAAAGACAGGGTACAAATCAAAAGAATGAATATAACGTCACCTTGGTAAATGCATTACCCCAAAACTGCATTTACTAAAGTACTGTCAACATAGGCTCAGAGGGAAATCAGGAGACTAGCTGCTAAATTCTAACTCAGGGTTCCTCAAACTTTTTCAGCAGGGGGCCGGTCCACTGTCCTTCAGACTTTGTGGGGGGCCGGACTATATTTTGGAAAGGAAAGGGAAAAAAAAAGAACGGCAGTGGAGGGATGATGAGCAGCACACGAAAGGGCTCCTGAGGGGCTGGCAGCAACAAAGCCCAGCGCCCTTCCTCCTCTAGGCAGGGCGGGGAGAAGGCAGGAGGGAGGGAGGAGGAGCCACCACCACCATTGTGTGAGGGAAAGGGAAAGAACGCGTGCGCACTGGCAATCCACATGGCGATTCCCAGACCATCTGCGGGCTGAATTTAGAAGGCAATTGGGCCTGATTCGGCCCATGGACCTTAGTTTGCCGACCCATGTTCTAACTGCTGATTCTTCCCTGAATATATTCCTTCCGAGAAAGAATAACAGAATCATAGGTCTCCTGTTTCAACTTACTTCCATTGTTAGAGCCTAGCTGGGGAAAATCTGACTAAACACTGGAAACTAGGGGAGAACTGGTGTATGAAGGACACATGCAATAATCCAAGACATGCTTCCCAAGCAAAGAAATGTGCAGGATGAAGCATACTTCCTTACCTGATTCTGTAAGATTTCAAGATTATTTACTGTAGACCCATTAAGTATCATATATTCAGCTTCACTTGATAACTTCTTAAAATTACTGAAAGTAAAAGCATTATTCCATAGTGATGACACAAGATAGTTGCTTATTAACCTTTAAAATAAAATCTTGGCTTTGTCTAATGTTGGGGAAAGCACGTTAAGACATATGAAGGAGAAACAGCTTCTGGTAAACACATGTGAATCATTTTACTTCTGGGAAAAACTAATTTAAAATCAACTACCAATGTTAAAGTGAAAGCCTTTGCAGATGACTTGGTTTTAACAATGGAAGAACCATTAACTAGTGATAAAGAAGCACTAGAAGAAATAGAACAGTTCGGACAAGTAGCAGGTTTCAATTAAATAAAAAGAAAACTAAAATGTTAGTTAAAAGTATGAAACAAGATTTGGTGGCTATGCTGCAATGACAAACTGGTGTAGAAGTAGTAAAAAAAAAAGTGAAATATTTGGTAATTTGGCTAACCCCCAAAGAATATAAATTTATTTCAAGATAATTAGACACCGATGTGGAATGGAATTAAGAGAGATTTGGAAGTGTGGGGACGGATGCAACTTTCTCTATAGGATAGGATGTCAGTCATTAAAATGAATGTGCTACCAAAATTGTTATTTTTGTTCCAATCAATTCCGATAATCAAAGGGGCAGCTATATTTAAGGAGTGGCAGAAAATACTTTCAAGATATATCTGGCAGGGGAAGAAACCAAGAATTAAATTTAAATTGTTAACTGGTATTAGAGAAAGAGGGGGCTTCACCTTGCCAAACTTGAAGTTATACTATGAACCATCCTGCCTTTGTTGGTTGAAGGAAAGGATATTGTTAGAAAATACAGATTTGTTGGACTTAGAAGGATTTGATAATAGGTTTGGTTGGCACGTATATTTATGGTACGACAAAACAAAAGTGCATAAAGGATTTGGAAACCACATATTCCGAAGAGCTCTGTATGAAATTTGGGATAGGTATAAAAACCTATTAGAACGTAAAACACCATGGTGGTTGTCACCTTTGGAAGCAATGAGTGTAAAAAAGATAAATATGAGTAAAAATTGGGGCACATATGAAAGGTTACTAAGAGAAGAAGGAAATAATTGGAAAATTAAACCTTATGAAGAGGTAAAAGAGGCACTTTTTATCATCTGTGGTGGGAATGTAAGAAAGTGAAAGGCTTCTGGGAAATGATTTATAATGAAATGGAAAAGATGTTGAAATATACATTTATTTAAAAAACCAGAAGCATTTTTACTTGGTATTGTAGGCACTGACATTAAAAGACAAGATAAAAAACTGTTTTTATATGCGACAATTGCAGCAAGAGTATTATTGGCACTGACATTAAAAGACAAGATAAAAAACTGTTTTTATATGCGACAATTGCAGCAAGAGTATTATTGGCACATAAGTGGCGATTTGATAGAATAAGGATTTGCTTAAAAATTCTTCTCATAGCAGTTCTGCATTTAGTATTATAGTAGTTCAACTAGGCAGTATAATAATCAGGTAAGTAATTTAAAAAACCCCTACAAGCACATACTTTTACATTTCTAAAGTTTTTCCACTTTTGTTAGCTTTCCACTTTTGTTAGCTCATCGCTGCTGCCGCTTTGCCGGTGAGTCTTGGGGAGGACCGCCCCCCCTGCAAGCCCATTCTCCACCTTGGGCCTGGGGGCGGGCCCCATACTCCACCTCAGCATATAAGGCTCCAAGGAGGCCTTGGGACATCGCTGCTGCCGCTTTGCCGGTGAGTCTTGGGGAGGACCGCCCCCCCTGCAAGCCCATTCTCCACCTTGGGCCTGGGGGCGGGCCCCATACTCCACCTCAGCATATAAGGCTCCAAGGAGGCCTTGGGACATCGCTGCTGCCGCTTTGCCGGTGAGTCTTGGGGAGGACCGCCCCCCCTGCAAGCCCATTCTCCACCTTGGGCCTGGGGGCGGGCCCCATACTCCACCTCAGCATATAAGGCTCCAAGGAGGCCTTGGGACATCGCTGCTGCCGCTTTGCCGGTGAGTCTTGGGGAGGACCGCCCCCCCTGCAAGCCCATTCTCCACCTTGGGCCTGGGGGCGGGCCCCATACTCCACCTCAGCATATAAGGCTCCAAGGAGGCCTTGGGACATCGCTGCTGCCGCTTTGCCGGTGAGTCTTGGGGAGGACCGCCCCCCCTGCAAGCCCATTCTCCACCTTGGGCCTGGGGGCGGGCCCCATACTCCACCTCAGCACACAAGGCTCCAAGGAGGCCTCGGGACATCGCTGCTGTTCTTCTGCCAGTGAGTCTTGGGGAGGACCGCTCCCCCTGCAAGCCCATTCTCCACCTTGGGCCTGGGGGCGGGCCCCATACTCACCACCGTCACAACTCTAAGGACACTGCTGCTGCGGCAGCAAATGTTTAAACGTTTTATATTTTTTAAAGTGTTTTAAAAGTGTTTTTACTTATTATTCTGTTGTATCACCAGAAACGGTGGTTTTTTATCCATGTATTTTTATTTTGTTTTGTTCTATTTTGTGTTGGGATGGTTGTTGAGTGGGGTGGGGATTGGTTTTGTTTTGGGGTAATTGTTTCTTTGTTTGTTTGTTTGCTTTTATATTTTGTAAATGGAGGCGAGCATGAGGCCTGGGATTCCTACTGTGGAGGGGCGAGGGAGGTATGGCGGTGGGGGCAGATGTCATAGGCGAAGGGGATCGAGATACGGATATGCTCGTACCCCTTCCAATCTGCGCCCCATCCCGAGAGACGAGGGTAGGGTGAGCAAGGATTACTCACCTCCGTCACTGGTGTTGTGCAATGCCAGGTCTATAGGCAACAAAACCGCCACCCTGCGAGATTTCATCATCTCGCAGGGGGTCGACCTGGCTTGTGTGACAGAGACCTGGGTGCGCGAAGGGGATACTGTTACCTTACGAGAGATGGCGCCCCCGGGTTTTTCCGTCCTCCACCAGTCACGGACTGTGGGCCGGGGGGGAGGGGTGGCACTATTAATCCGGGAAGATTGTTCTTTCAGGGCTCTACCACCGCCATCGATCCCCGGCATTGAATGTGTTGGCCTAGTGTGGGGCTCCGAGGTGAGCTTGGCTGTCTGGCTGGTGTACCGGCCACCTAGCGCACCAGCAGCCACCCTGTCAGGCCTGCTGGAGGCGGTGGCCGGCTGGGCCTTGGAGTTCCCTAACCTATTGGTATTGGGGGACTTCAACATCCATGCCGATGCCACTCCCTCCTCACAGGCTCTGGACCTGGTGTCTTCCATGGCGACACTAGGGCTCTCCCAGTTTGTTTCGGGCGCCACACATCAAGCAGGCCACACGCTGGATCTGATCTTTGGCGTCGGTATAGATGTGATCATGTTTCCTTCGATGAAGGTGCCATGGTCTGATCACTACGCTCTGAAAGCCAGGATTGACGTTCCACCCCCACCCTGCTTAGGTGGTGAGCCGATTTGGGCTCGCCCGCGGAGGCTGATGGACCCTGATAGATTCCGTCAAGCCTTGCGGGACCTTTCTCCCCCTGGCGACTCATTGACTGAGCTTGTTGAGGGCTGGAATACCCAGCTCCTGGCAGCCATCAATGAGATCGCACCTAAGCGCCCTCTGCGACCCCGCAGAAACCGGGCTCCCTGGTTTACTGAGGAGCTCCGGAAAATGAAGCGGGACCTCAGACGGCTAGAGCGAGTATGGCGGGGTGCCCGTGACGGAGCCTCAAGAACATCTTATAGGGTTTTTATGAAAACCTACGAGATGGCAGTGAAGGCCGCTAAGAAGTCCTACTTCTCGGCCTCCATTGCATCCGCTAGCTCTCGCCCGGCACAATTATTTAGTATAATTCGGTCTTTAACGTCCCTCGAAGGACAGCCAAATTTAAATAACAATTCGACACACAGCTGTGAGGCATTTGCGAGCTTTTTTGCGGAGAAGGTCCTGTCGCTCCGCCATGACCTCCCTGCCAATTTGGATACAATAAAGGAACTGGAGGCCCCTCGACTGTCCTCGGGTCCAGTATTGGACCACTTTGACCGGATATCCCCAGCCGATGTGGACAGACTCCTCCGAGCTGGAAAGCCCACCACTTGTCCTCTCGACCCGTGCCCGTCTTGGCTGATTAGAGCGTGTCCAGACGAGGTGCGGGCCCCCCTGGGGGATATCATCAATTTGTCCCTTGGCACCGGGACATTCCCAGGGGAACTGAAGGAGGCAGTGGTGCGTCCGCTCTTAAAGAAAACATCATTAGATCCCTTAGATCTATCCAATTACCGCCCAGTTTCGAATCTTCCATTCCTGGGTAAGGTGATTGAGAGAGCGGTTGCTGAACAGCTTGGTAGGTTTCTGGACGAAACATCGGCTCTGGATCCATTCCAGTCCGGCTTCCGCGCTGGTCATGGGACCGAGACGGCTCTGGTCGCCCTAACAGATGATCTTCGTAGACAGCTGGATCGAGGCGGGTCGGGGCTGCTGATTCTTCTAGATCTGTCAGCAGCTTTCGACATGGTTGATCACGAACTTCTGGACCACCGCCTCGCCGACGTGGGGATCCAGGGCACAGTCCTTCAATGGCTGCGCTCGTTTCTCTCTGGTCGGGGACAGAGGGTGGCGCTTGGGGGGGAACTGTCATCCCGCCACTCCTTGGTGTGTGGAGTGCCTCAGGGTGCGATTCTCTCCCCGATGCTTTTTAACATCTTTATGCGCCCCCTCGCCCAGCTTGTCCGGAGTTTTGGGCTGGGCTGCCATCAGTATGCTGATGACACCCAACTCTATCTGTTGATGGATGGCCATCCTGACTCGGCCCCAGACACACTGATCAGATGCTTGGAAGCTGTGGCTGGATGGTTACGTGGGAGCCGGTTGAAGTTAAATCCTTCGAAGACAGAGGTCCTCTGGCTGGGACGGGACGATATGGGATTGAGGGGGCAACTCCCATCTCTTGCGGGGGTGCAATTAGTGCCAGCACCATCCGTTAAGAGTTTGGGTGTAATCTTCGATACCTCCCTCTCCATGGAGGCGCAGATTGCAGCTATAACAAAGGCGGCATTCTTTCATCTCCGCCAAGCTAAGCAGTTGGCTCCTTACCTCTCTCGCCCTGACCTAGCCACTGTGATCCACGCGACGGTCACCTCCAGACTGGATTATTGTAACTCGCTCTACGTGGGGCTGCCCTTGAGACTGACCCAGAAACTCCAGCGGGTGCAGAATGCCGCAGCGAGACTCCTTACGGGGTCTTCGCTGTGGGATCACATTCATCCGGTGCTATACCAGCTGCACTGGCTCCCGGTGGAGTACAGGATCAGGTTTAAGGTGCTGGTTTTAACCTTCAAAGCCCTACACGGCCTAGGACCCTCGTATCTACGGGACCGCCTCTCCTGGTATGCCCCACAGAGGAACTTACGGTCCTCAAATAAAAACATCTTGAAGGTCCCAGGCCACAGAGAGGTTAGGCTGGCCTCAACTAGAGCCAGGGCTTTTTCGGCTGCGGCTCCAACCTGGTGGAACGCTCTGTCACAAGAGACAAGGGCCCTGCAGGACTTGACATCTTTCCGCAGGGCCTGCAAGACAGAGCTGTTCCACCAGGCCTTTGGTTAGGGCACAGCCTGACTCCCTCCTTTGGCAATCTTTACAATACTTTAGTTTATGGTTGCCATCAATTTTGATTTTAATTAATTCTTATGATGTTTTATAATGTTGCACTATTTTAGTGTTGTTAGCCGCCCT